GATGAAACACAGACTGCGTCATAAAATGTCTTCAAACAAATGACATTCAAGTGAAATTCTGCTATTTTTCTATTTTAAAAGTATTTTAATAGAACAAATTAAATAGTCAAGGGCAACTTTAATCATTAAAATACATAACAAGTTGAGTAAGTTAAATCATAAGATATAATAATTTAAATCTTGCATCACCAAACATATAATATTAATATTAATGAGAAAACTGCTGGGGAATGCCCATCCATATGCTGCACCGACGCTGAACTGTTCCGGATCGCGGTGGTATTCAAATTTTTAAGCTTACCTCTTCCGTTTTTTGCTTCCAACTTTGATCAGATTTAACTTGCCACTGAATATTGCCTTGCCTTTCTACTTCTGCGGCTTATTGATTTTAGAGGAATTCATCATGCGGTTTCGTCATTTTTGATATTCATAATTAGGAGCTGTAAGAGGCTGTAAAGCGGAAGGGCCACATATTCAGTTTCCCTGGTGAAAATTAAAGAAAGCCTTCATGAAAGCGAACGTTTGGATCCGTGCCGACCAGGGTTTCGAGATTCGTCATCATGGAGTTATTCACGCTTCATGTTTATTCTACGCGCACATTGTACCCGCCGCCTTACGGGGCTGGTGGTACGGAAGACCCTGTGCTGCAACGCCGGTAGAAACACGGAAGTTTATCTTTGCTGGTAAAAATAATGGCGCACAGCGATCGGTAGCACAGGCCTGTCGCAAAGGCCGCGAAACGGAGAAGAACGAGGCACCTCATACCTCACGCCGATACCTAGGCAATCCAATGACTCGTATGGTCTCCTGCCTCTCGGCTTACCACTCGAAACCGACGACAGCAACCCCCGGAGAAGCGGCGGCGAAATCCATGACAACAATGACAAATTTCCAAAAGCATAGTACTGTCGGAAACCAGCGCTTATATAATTCAGAAGCCCGGGAAAACTCCTAACTTGCTCGTCCGGGCGGCATTTGCCTGGCGCTTGGCGAGGATCTAGCTGGACAGCGAAGGATCGACCTGACCTTCATGCCTGACCAAGCTCCAGCATAATTCCTTACCGGCAGCTTTTTTCTGCAATACTTAATTGTTGCTGATACAGTCACAGCAGTGATTGATTGTGATAAAGAAAAAGGAAGAGTGGCGCTTATTTCGGCGCACTCTTCTAACAGCGTAGCTCATAAAACGCTCTGCATATTTCTCCAACATAAAAACAGCCAATGTCAAAACGACCAACACCAGTTTTGAGTCTGTTTTTGCTGAGAATATAGAATTCGCGACGTCATAGCCAACGGGGAGACCAGGTATATTACAGTGAGTTGTCCAATGCTTTTGCTGGGTGCAAATTCCCAGACTGCAGTTTTGCTTTGTCAGACGCTTCAGCTGTAACTTTCTGGACCTGGAGAAGCTGGAGCTGGGGTGCCTGCTTGCGGGATGTGCAACACCAAGCAACTAGACCCACTTCTTTATTAGTGCAATGTTAAAGAAATCAAAAAGAGTAAGCGAACCCCAGAAATCGCCCGGCAACCCAGCAGCTCCAACCTGCCACCAGACATACACAATAGCTTCAGGCGGCAGCAGCTCCAGGCTACCGCCGCGCACTTCCAGATCGCGTAGAACATAACAATTACAATAATAATTTCATTTTCAGTCATCACATTAAATATCACGGAGGGGGGAACTCGAGCCAGGAGACGGGACATTTGCATATTATAGGAAACTGAAGGGCAACTGGACAAGGCAAAGGGGGTTAAGCCTTCAACTTCTCTTCCTTGTTACTCGCTCCTTCCTTTTGCAACACAGCTCTTTCTTTAGCTACCTTCTGCGCTTTTGCTTCTTACTTTTGCGTTCCTTTATTCGTTTTTATGACGATTTTGACATCCTTCTAAAAGCTGTCACTTCTCTCTCTCTGTCGCATCTGCTTCCTCCGTCTTCATTGTCGTCCTCCAAATTCTCCGATGCGTTCGTGGTTTTCGGGTAATTGATTGGTTTATGCCTGTTTAACTCACTTATTTGGCATTTTGCAGGGTGTTCAGTTTGCTGTCATTCTGCATGAATCACGAGCACTGAGTGAGCAGAAGCAAAGAAATCTTCGATGCTCATTGTAAATACCGTGATGTGTGCCTTCCGTCTGCTGTATATCGCGATGACTTGTTATCGCATAAATATATCTGTAATAGAGAGATATCAGTAGCTACCCTTCAGCACGGTGTTATTCCGCTTTTTTGTCTATTTTTGTGAAATTTGTGTGTTAAAGCGAAATCTGAGCTTGTTACATTTTCGGGTAATGCCGTGACAATGAAGCAATGCTGGCCAGTGCAAAAAAAGACTGTTACAGTGTATTGCTACTGATATTACTGCTACTACTACCACTGCTGCTACTACTGCCGTTTCATTAGCGCCTGGGTGTACTGAAGCCCCCAAATGACGGTCGAATTGTTAAATGCAAAACTTCCAACAACGTTACTACGAAAAATCGATTGCAAGCAAGGGGCTGTAAGAGCGGTCAGATACAATGGTTCGTCTTTTTCGCCATTTCTTTTCGTTTCTGGACTCTTTCTGAGAAATTATTAGCTTTGTGGAATATCTTATTATTATATATGCTTTATTCTTGACCTTGTTTAGTGGATGGTAACTACTGTTTGTCGTGTGGAGCGGATAAAACAGTGAAGCTATGGAATCC